GGATTCAGTGCGCATTCAGATCGAGAATGTTGGGGAACTTACCAATCGCGTGGAGTGACCCTCACCTGACTTCCATTCCAACCAACCACTGATAAATGAATGATTTCTGTTGACCTGTGGACTCTGAATGGGAAATTGGCTCAGAGTTTGTGAAGCCTTACAGAGCTTAGGGTATGGCGATGATGGCAAGTGGCAAGAGTGGGTTCACACAAAACAAGAGGAGACAAGGGCACAGCTCCACGGGTGTGTGTCCAGCCGCCAGCCTGTGGGGAGGAGAGGGGGCGAATCATCCTCATGAACATTTACCGGTGCCTTTTAGAGTTGACTCAAAAGCAGCCAGTCGGGAGGAGAGGGGGCGAATCATCCTCATGAACATTTACCGGTGCCTTTTAGAGTTGACTCAAAAGCAGCCAGTGGGGATGAGAGGGGGCGAATCATCATCATGATAGACATTCACAGGTGCCTGCACAATTTTCATGCATGTGAATGGTGTCATGTCATTCCTCAAACTTGAAACACTTTCAGGCTTCATGCGGACCGCGCCAGCCAGTGCCGTAACACAGAACGAAGCCATCTGTTACCGGACCGGGGCTTGATCACGGTATTTGCAGTGGGAGGCGAGGTGATCTGCTCCGAGGACTGATGTGTGTGCTGAACAGCGAGTCCAAACAACACCACCAACCACAAATTTGGCACCCTACTACCGTAGGTGCCTGCGTCATTTGATTGCTCTTCTAGGTACCCACCTTCCTGCTCGCCTGGAGTGCAGGGTCAAAGACATGCGCTGTTACAGGACTAGAGGGTTGCATGTGCAAAGACTCAGCTCAGCTGCAGGAACAGTGGTGGAAAATGCTTCAGCACACTCAATGCTATACATATAAGCCTGTAACAAAAGGATTCAGCTATGCAACGTTACAGTGTTATGACCTGCCTCCTTTCAACTCCTCTCTACTAACGTCTTCCTCCTCGTCTCGTTTGTCTCCTTGTCTTTCTGAAACCCCTCGTTCCTCTGCTTCTACAATTTGATAACCGTTGGCATATTTCTCCTGCTGCCGCATCTGAATAGCCTGCACATGCCCAATCTGGCCCTCTCCGCTGCCTCCAACCTCTCCACCACCCTTACTACCCTCTCTACCTTCTCTAACCCTGCCAGAGCTGCCTGCACCGCTCTTAACTCCGGCGTTGCCCCCTCCCCGTCCCTTCCTGTTCGCAAGTCGCTTCGCCTTGAGCTGCTCTCTGCATTCCGCGAGCGCCTCTCCCCGAAGGCCCTGACAGCTGAGGCCCTCCTGATCCATGGAGATGGCGAAATACAGGTACACCGCGCACAGCACGACGAGTACCGCCATTGTTCGCAGCAGGTACTGGTGCCGCGCGAGTAACGCTCGCATGGACATGTCGGGTTGATTCCCCAAACTGCCGTGTCTCGCGGCGCGCGACGTGAACGGCGAAGGAGAAGCATTGATGCGATCGGATGGAGGGTTCGGATTCAATGAGCTTAATTTAGCGAGAGAAGAATCAGCGATGGGTTGAGAGAGAGAAAATGCGGTTGGCTTGTTGCGATCCGGGCTTAGCGGCGTGTGGCGTCTGTAAATCTCCCCGCCGGGTGATGCTGCTGATATGGACGAAGCTAGCGACGGTCGGGTCTCATCCTGGTCTAGCAGCACGGGACTCCCCTCCGATGTTTGCTGGCCGCTGCTATTGCTACTGCTGCTGCCGGCACGTAACAACGAGCTAGCTGTGGACGACATGGAGAGGGACAAGGATGTCAATAAACTGGATCATACGTAAACCAGTTCACAAAAATAGGCTAGAAGCGGTAGCCGTACACATGTGATAAGAACACTCTACAATGGCAAGAACGGCAGGTGGAGAAGGACGGGACAGGGCCGCGCGAAGTGCGGAATGCTTTGTTGGGTGAGGGGTGGTTGTTGGACTGGCTGCCGAAAAGTCAGGAGAGTATGGCAATGGTCGATGTCAAGTCCACAAGTCAAGTGTACAACTTGTTACACGCGATTGAATGAATTTCATTAGGTACGGAAATTTTGCTTTATGGAATCAGATGCAAATTAAAATTGCCTTTAAAGTTACATTGCTAACTCTGCACTCCACACCTACCATTTCTCACTACTTAAGTCAATTAGTATGAAATTTGGTGTTTACCATATATTTTTTGTCTACCCACCATTCTTCCATCCCAAGCATTTCGTTGGCTCCACGCATTTTTTGTCTACCCACCATTCTTTCCTCCGGCAACGAATTTTGTTGCTCCTGTCTGGTTCCTTCACACGCATCCCCAATGCACAGAGCTTACTCTATTGTACCATCGTGCCCTAACAGACTTCTGCAGCTCCCTGCAATGTGCACAAACTGCTTGGTCGGCCTGCTGCATCTACGTCTGCTCCTGACAATTTCGTTCAAATGTCAAGAAAACGACTCGAGTTTTTTCCGTTTGGAGCATTGGAAGGCGAGGCGTTTTGCTGACGCACATCTGCAGCGGCTTTGAGCTCTTTGGCCTTCGCACGAAGAGCTTCAAGCATCTCCCGAATTTCAGCCTCGTCGTCCTCGAGGGTCACATTCCGCATCGAGTGCAAGTTCCTCGTCAGCGTTCCTTGCAATCTCCTGCCTTTGCTAGTGACGTTTGAAGATGGTGGAGGTTCAACCTCACCTGCACGAAACACCAAGTTGAGAGGGTCCGTTGATCGCGCTTAAGCCACTAGATTTAATCATACCAGTTTGGAAGTCTTCTTCTTCAGAGTTCTCCAAATGCGTTCCCGGGACAAGCGCACGGGGGAGGGAGTTTTTTAGAAGGTAAGACGCGTACTGCGAGTAGTATTTTGCACCCTGACGAATTTGCACCTCCGTAATAATAAGGGACGATTCCAAGAGCATCATAGCCGCACTGCAGACAACGACGAGAAGTATAGGAATAGAGGAGCTTCGAAAACGGACTCGGATCATGGCGAAAAGGAAGCAGATGTGTAGAAATTTGATGCAAGCAATAGCGATGGAATGCCTACAAATGGTTTCTGGCATATTTCAGGAGAGCCAGCTGAGGGCGTGTCCCCTCCCTCGATCGATATGGCAAAATCGATCATCCACTGAACTAAAATCCTGCGGTGTCCTGTTTTAAACTTATCAAACCGAGCGCAGGATCGATCCTGCGCACTATCGATCGAGTGGGGGGATGCGCCCTAAATCTCCAAATGAACTTCAGAGAGTCTCAGATGTCTGGGTCCACGTGGGTCCGGCTCGGACCAGGCGGACCAGCTCAAGTACCAGAGCCTGAACCAGGGGCGGACCGGGACCAGGATGCGGGGCTTGTAACCCCGTTATAACGTTCGAATGGCACTAAAACGGTGCCATTTTTTCGGTCCTCCGGACCAGTCCGCGCCTGGTCCGTAAACAGTGGTGGTCAACATTGTGTTGCGAAATGTCTTGTGTTCGTGACTTTGGCGCGAGATTTAATTTCCAGACGAAGAGAAAAAGTAACTCGATTTCAATTTTTCGTCGCTACTGCTGCAAATCGCAAATACTGTGCAGCACGAGACGCGACGCATCAGGCAGACCAGCTCGTGTCTGGTCCAACGCTGGTCCGCCAAATGGGTCCGTCGGACCAGAGCCCCGGACCCGACGTATAAATTTGTCTCGCGGACCAGATCCAGCGGATCCTTAACATGAGACACGTCCTCATGCGTATTCCAGGGGTGAGCTTGCTCAGGGAGTCAGAAACCGATTGGTCTCAACGCAGGACAACGGGTTCACGAAACCTAGGAATGTAGCTGTTGCTGGTTCGTTCGGTGTACACCTTGGAACTGAGTGGTTCGCCTAGGCGTCTGGCCCACCAGTTTCTCAACATGGTTACTTGGTGGCTTTTCGTTCGCGGTGTAAAAAGGTTGGCGAAAGCACCGAGCAAATGTTAACCCTCGAGGGACTTATGTGAAACGATGTAACCCCCTAGATCGAAGACGTTGCGAACAGCGACCAACTTCGCACTTGGCCATGACTGGAACCATCAACCACCCCCATCCAGCATAGCAACTACCTACTCGTACCACTGTTCAATTGGCGCGAATTTGCCGAAGCATGCCGCAGCCACGTGTCCCGCAAGCGGAATCATCTCGTTTCAGGCTCGTGCCGCCATTCGTGGTCGGCATTGCCGTCGGAGCTTGCATGATTTTGCTCCAGCAGTCGCTTTCCTCCCGTCTAGCCGGCACAACCGCCGGCGACTGGCAGAATGATCACCCACAGCCGACATACCGCCGCTATCCCTCATTTTCTTCCGAAAGAAGCGGCGAGAATCTCGCCGGACAAGATGGCGGTGGTGGTGAGGCTCACAGCTCACCCTCCGCATCAGGCGCCTCGAATGACGGCGTGAGAACCGGAGAGAGCAGCAGCGCGTACAACACGAGCGCGGGGATCGTGGCGGGGAAATTGAACGTGCATCTGGTACCGCACTCGCACGACGACCTGGGATGGCTCAACACGGTGGAACAGTACTATGTGAGAATGACAGCGCCAGGACCCACCATTGATGACACTCACCATAGCATTAGGCTGGCACCACTCACCACCAGTACAGTCTCTCCCTTCTACACCGCCTACTGGCTCCCCGTCCCCCCCTCGCCCTTTAATATCCCCCATTCCTCTCAATCCCCTTCAATACAAACGAATGTTTTGCAGTTACTGCCTTCACAGCAAAGTCGCTCCCTCTGCCATCAGAATAACATTTCGTTACCATCGCCCCTTTTCTCCGTCTTCCCCCCCCCCCCCCTCCTCCCTTCCCACCTTCCCTTCCCCCCCCCCCCATCCCTGGCATCAGATCACGGCCGTCCAGTTCATCCTAGAGACGGTGGTGGACCAGCTGGAGGCCAATCCGGACCGTCGATTCATCCAAGTGGAGCAGGCAGGTGACCTGGCAGAATGTGGCTGTACCAGCCAGCCCTAGCCATCTGGCGGCAGAGTGGTTGGTTGTGAATGAAGTTTGCGAGAGCAGAGTGGTCATGAGGGAGTTGTCGTACGTGCAAAGCGAACTTCTTTCTTTTGGAGCTCTCGATTTTTGTTACACAGCTGTAGAAAAACCATGCAGTGCAGACCTGAACCCGTGACTCAGTTAAGAGCTCTCTTCTGTACTTCAGATGGATTTTTATTTTGCTGTGTAGGCAGGGAGGTAGTATGCTAATGCGTTTCTCGTTTCCCATGTCATCATGCGATCCAACGCTTATGCCCACCACCACAATACTGCACTCTCTTCTGTGCCCACCATTCATGGCTTATGGGGGGCAGGGTTTCTTCTACCGCTGGTGGCAGCAGCAGTCGGAGGGCATGCGGCAGCGCGTGCGTGCTCTCGTGCACTCGGGGCAGCTGGAGTTCATGTGAGTTAATGTCCCTTGTTTGTGCCGTTGTAACGAGGTGACTATTGAGTCGACTCAAAAGACAGCGCGCGCGGCGGGTGGGTGATGCACGATGAAGCGGTATGCCGCTACGGGGGTGTGTTGCGCCGCCTGTCGCTGGGCCACCGCTTCCTCTCATGCCCTCCTCGTGCCCCTGCTGCCACCTGCTTGCTGCCCCATTTGTGCTGCTCCTGCCCCCTGCGTACAGCAATGGCGGGTGGGTAATGCACGACGAGGCGGTATGCCACTACAGGGACGTGCTGCACCACATGTCGCTGGGCCACCGCTTCCTGCGCCGCCACTTCAACATCACCCCCTCCATCGCCTGGCAGATAGACCCCTTCGGCCACTCCGCCACCCAAGCTAGTCTTATCACCGCGCAGGTGCGATGGGAGGATGGAAGGGAAGGCGTGGCACTGAAGTGACTGAATGGTGTGTGGGGCTGGTGCCCTGCCTTGCATGATGTGTGTGGTGCCGCTTCAACGCCACTCCAACCATCGCCTGGCAGATCGACCCCTTCGGCCACTCCGCCACCCAGGTCAGCCTCATCACCGCCCAGGTCGAACCTGTGAAGGTGCAAGTGCGTGTTAGAGTTTGCTTTTAATCCCAACTCTTGTATTTGTACTTTCATATTCTAGCGTAGTGTAGTTTGCACTTTTTGTTTGGTTGGGTGTACACCCACATCCCAACCAAACCCAAATGTGATCTCCAAGCAATCTCCAACCCACCAATTGGAGATTGCCTTGGGATTGCCCCCGACCTCCTAGGGATCGCCCTCGATTTCCTCCCCATCCATTCCTAGCTCATTTCCTATGTACTTAAAGAGCCTTGAGGTCATTACTAATGTATTAATTCAAGCTCAATTTAACAGTGTGAACCTAACCATTTCGGGTACTTCAACACAACTCACTTCTCAAGTTTCTTCAGTCACTCTGCCACTCAAGCCAGCCTCATCACTGCTAGGGTACGACGGGAAGAAGGAAGGCAAGGAGTGGCCGTTACTGACTGGTTCGTTTCGTGGGCCTGGTGCCTTGCATGACGCAAGTGGGACAGGAGCACCAATTTTGCATCTGGGAGGTTGGAGTCGATACTGGAAATCTGCACGTAGTGTTCTTCGCACGTGCGGACTATGGTACATACAGCCCGCCATGCCTCCTGCCTTGTGCCGCGCACACTCCATTGTTGTGACCCCTTCCCGTCCACTGCAGGGCGGGCTGCATGCGGTGTTCTTCGCACGGGCGGACTATAAGGATGTAGCGCGGCGCAAGCAGGAGAGGAGCACCGAGTTTGTGTGGCGCGCCTCAAAGACTTTTGGCCGGCAGGCTGAGGTGAGTGATGAGTGAGTGAGTGAGCGAGTGAGTGAACAAGTGAATGAGTGAGCGAGTGAGTGAGTGAACGAGTGCTATGTGGTAAGTCATGTCCACTCCCTGAGTTGCCTAAAGACTGAAATTTCATACCGTATGCATTCGATGCGATTGCTCGCGGGCTGGGTGGGCTGAGACGAGATGGATTGTTCTCTATTTTATAAGTCAAAGGAACCCTCTGCTGGGAGAGTTCAAATGAGGGAAACGTGGCGGTGGGGTTGAACCTGTGTCACTGCGCATCTCATTCGTTTGCCCGTCCTCTCTCCTTGCCAGAGCAGGTGTTTGCAGGAATCCTCTACTGGGACGGCTACTTCGCCCCAAAGCCATTCCTGTTTGAGTCGTCTCAAAAGTCACCCTCGCCACCCTCTCTCCTCTTCCTCCCCCCACTCCTCTCTCCTCTCTCCCCCTTACAACCGGTGCAAGAGCAGGTGTTTGCGGGCATTCTCTACTGGGACGGGACGGCTACTTCGTCCCACAGCCATTCCTGTTGAGCCGTCTCAATACACACCCTCTCCACCCTCTCTCTCTCCCCGACCCCCCCCCACCGGAGCAGGTGTTTGCAGGCATTCTCTACTGGGACGGCTACTATGCCCCGGAGCCATTCCGCTTTGAACCATACGACCCTCTCACCAACCTCGTCAAGGTGCGCTCACTCACTCACTTGAACTGCCCTGCCTTGGATTGGATGCTCAACGGGGTGCCTCTTGAGGGACTTAATCCTCTACTGGGATGGATACTATGCCCCGGACGCTGCCATTCCGCTTTGAACCATACGACCCCCTCACCAACCTCATCAAGGTGCGCTTGCTGCCTTGATACAAGTGCCCTGCCTTGGATGGAAGAAAGGGGTGAGTGAAAGAAAGGGTAGGGGGCTGGGTAGTGTTCCAAGCTTCCTGAAGCACATGGGTGTAGTAATCACCCAGTTACCCACCACCCCCCTGCCCTGCCCACACACACCAGCTCCTCCATGTGAGACGGACACCGTCACACCGGCACGGTGGAGCTGGTGGGTGGGTGGCACTAGTTGGCAGTATTCGTGGACAGGTGGCTGACTTAAGGCTATCTCGAGGTTATCTCAAGACTATTTCGAGGCTGACTCAAGGCTATCTCGAGGTTATATCAAGACTATTTCAAGGCTGACTCAAGGCTTTCTCTGAGGCACATGGGTGTAGTCACCCCGTTACCCACCAACATTGAAGCTACGCATGAACAAGTGACTGACTCAGGACCATGCACTCGCACCTGGTACAAGTGTTTGCTTGCGAGCCGGTGAGCTGTTGGCTCAGACTGGTTTCAGTACCCCTCCTCCTGTGCCTCCTTCCCCAAGACCCAGGGTTTAAGGTGTAGGGTTTAGGCCTTAGGACGACCCGTACCGTAAGAGGCGAAGCCAACGCAGGCAGTGAGGGGTTTGTGAACCTTCCAGTGGCTGCCTGCCTCAGCACGGCTTGATTTGATTGACCCACTGACGCCCCCTGCCCACCTGGACAAAACTTCTCCTCCTCTCTAAGGAATCCATACAAAGCAGACACAGACACCAACATAATGCAGCTGGTGGTGGAGTGGAGAGATTCATGAAGTGAATGGTCGGTTTCTGACTCAGTCTGGTGACACTAGCCTACCTTCGCCCCATTACCCAACTGCCCCCCTCTGAGAGGACGACCCATACAAGGTCAGCATCAACATAGTGCAGCTGGTGAACGTGTTTGTGAACGGGGCCGGTCGCTGACTCAGTGTGGCTCTACCCTCCCACCCACTTAGTAGCCCTCCTGTGCCCCACTACCCAACTCCAACCCCTAACAGGACGACCCGTACGAGGTCGACGCCAACATAGTGCAGCTGGTGGAGACGTTTGTGAACCGGTCGCTGACGCAGGCGGGTGACAGGCGCAGCGAGCATGTGATGTGGGCCATGGGGGAGGACTTCTCACACTCCAATGCTGCCCTATGGTTCAAGAACCTGGACACGCTCGTGCACTACGTCAACCTGGTGCGGGGTGGTAGGGTGTGGTGTGGTGTGGTGTGGAGTGGTGTTGTGCGGTGGGCACAGTGTGGCATGAAGCCAATTCCAATGCTGCCCTGTGGTTCACGAACATGGACAGGCTCGTTCAACATACCACATGCCATGGTTCACGTCAATTGGGGGTATGGTACGGTATGGTGTGGTATGGTGTGGTATGGTATGGTATAATATGGTATGGTATGGTATGGTATGGTATGGTATGGTATGGTATGGTATGGTATGGTATGGTATGGTATGGTATGGTATGGTATGGTATGGTATGGTATGGTATGGTATGGTATGGTGTGCCTTCAGCCATTAGACAAGGCGAGCTGCAGCGTAGGAGAATACTTTTGAGACGTCTCAAAAACACCTCCTCAATCCTCCTCTCTTCCTGTGCGTGTGCATCCTTGCTACTAACCCTAAGCAGGACGGGCGTGTGAATACCCTGTACTCCATGCCCTCGCACTACCTTCATGCCTGCACTAGAGCAACGTTTCATGGCCCCCCAATAAGGGTTTAGGGCATGTCATTGTATGGCATCATGTGGCATGGCACACGAAACTCCCCCACCCTCCTCTCTTCCCGTGCGTGTGCATTCCTGCTACCTGCCCCTCCCAGGACGGCCGTGTGAATGCCCTGTACTCCACGCCCTCACGCTACCTCCATGCCAAGCACCGCAGCAACGAGTCGTGGCCGCTCAAGGAAGGCGACTTCTTCCCGTGAGTGCCCCCTCACTCACGCATGAGTGCCCCCTCACTCACGCATGAGTGCCCCCTCACTCACGCATGAGTGCCCCCTCACTCACGCATGAGTGCCCCCTCACTCATTCGCGCATGGCATGGGATGGGAACATGGTGGCCTCATTCCAGCGCCCCAGCCCACTCGCTGCAAGCTGGATTGCTCGGCAAATGCACCCACACTTGACAACCCCCACGGCACACTTGACAACCCCCACGGCACACTTGACAACCCCCACGGCACACTTGACAACCCCCACGGCACACTTGACAACCCCCACGGCACACTTGACAACCCCCACGGCACACTTGACAACCCCCACGGCACACTTGACAACCCCCACGGCACACTTGACAAGGCAGACAGGGCATTACGCAAGTAAGTAATTGACTGCATCTGCACACGCACAGCAAAGTTCCCTAATCCTGTCCTGTCCAGTCGTTGTCCCATTTTGTGGCATGTCTGCCTGTCTGCCTGACTGCCTGACTGCCTGACTGCCTGACTGCCTGACTGCCCGACTGCCTGACTGCCTGACTGCCTGACTGCCTGACTGCCTGACTGCCTGACTGCCTGACTGCCTGACTGCCTGTCTGCCTGTCTGCCTGACTGCCTGTCTGCCTGACTGCCTGATTGCCTGACTGCCTGACTGCCTGACTGCCTGACTGCCTGACTGCCTGACTGCCTGACTGCCTGACTGCCTGACTGCCTGACTGCCTGACTGCCTGACTGCCTGACTGCCTGTCTGCCTGACTGCCTGTCTGCCTGTCTGCCTGACTGCCTGACTGCCTGACTGCCTGACTGCCTGACTGCCTGACTGCCTGACTGCCTGACTGCCTGACTGCCTGACTGCCTATCCGCCCTGTCTACCTGTCTGCCCTGACTACCTGTTGTCTGCCTGACTGTGTGACTGGCAGGTACGCGAGTGCGTCCACTGAGTACTGGACGGGGTACTACTCAAGCCGCCCAGCCTTCAAGGGCTATGCTCGCATGTGCAGCAGCCTGCTGCAGGTGAGTTGCTGGACGTGCGTTGCTTCTCTCCCCCCCCCCCACACCCTTCCCCTCCTCGTACTTTCCTTCGCCCCCGTTCTGCCTGCTTTATCCTCCTCCCACAGGCAGCAACGCTACTGGACGCATGAGTGGGCGAGGAGAACGTACAAGCATGAGTGAACAGCGCATCTCGCCTCGTGGTCTCTGTGCTGCTCTCCTCCAACCTCAACATCATCCGCGCCCCCACGCCCCCGCGCCCCCGCCCTCCCACACCCCCTTCCCCTCCTCCCCCCCCCCCCATCGTCCTTCATCTGCCCGTGTGTGCTTGCTCGAAGCTCCTTCCGCAGGCAGCAGCTCTACTGGAAGCATCAGTGGGTCAGGTGAAGCTGCAAGCCCGGGGCAACAGCACGTCCCCCCTCGTGGTCCCTGTGCTGCTCTCCGCCAACCTCACTGCCATGCCATCCATGCCCCCACGCGCCCTCCCTCCTTCCTTCACACCCCTCCTCATCCGTCCATCTCCTCCCTTCCACCCTCTACCTCCATACTCCTCCCTTCCACCCTCTACCTCCATACTCCTCCTGCAGGCAGGCAGCCACGCTACTGGAAGCATCAGTGGGCCAGTCCCAGCTGCAAGCGTGGGGTAACCAAACATCCCACCTTGTAGTCTCTGTGCTGCTCTCCACCAACCTCACGGCCATCCACGCCCCTACGCCCCTCCCCCCCCCACCTCCCACACACCCCTCCTCGTGCAGGCAGCCACGCTACTGGAAGCGTCAGTGGGCAAGGCCACCTTGCATGCGTGGGGTAACCAAACATTCCGCCTGGTAGTCCCTGTGCTGCTCTCCACCAACCTCACCGCCATCCACGCCCCCGCACCCCCGGCCTCGCGCCTGGCCTCGACGTTCCCCCTGGAGGAGGCAGTGGCAGTGGCACAGCACCATGATGCCATCACAGGCACGGGAAAGCAGCACGTGAATGATGATTACACGCTGCAGCTGCACCGGGGAGCGCTGGAGGTAGGACGTTTGGTGTTAAAAAAGGGGGGCATGGGGTAGGCAGTGGCAGTGGCACAACACCATGACGCTCTTACAGGCACGGCACGGCAGCATATGAGTGACGACTACACGCTGCAACTGTACAGGGGTGCATAGGAGGCTCTTTAAGAAACGCTCTAGCTCGCACGTAGCCAGGTTCCTTCCTTCCTTCCGCTCACCTAATCCATGGGGCTCGTTTCATTGTCCTAAGAACAACAAGAATTGATGGAAGTAAGGCCTCCGCAGCCCACCTGTCCGCTACTGACAAGTACAGCACGGTAGCATGTGATTACTGACTACATGGTGCGACTGTACCAAGGAGTGCAGGAGGTGAGAGAAAGGAGCAGCACCATGGGTGGGGTAAGGCATGGCGTGGGGTAGGGCATGGCGTGGGGTAGGGCATGGCGTGGGGTAGGGCATGGCGTGGGGTAGGGCATGGCGTGGGGTAGGGCATGGCGTGGGGTAGGGCATGGCGTGGGGTAGGGCATGGCGTGGGGTAGGGCATGGCGTGGGGTAGGGGCCATCAGGAGTGGAGGGGTCAGTGGCGGCGGTGGCACAGCAATATGATGCCGCCAGATCACAGGCACAGCAATATGATGCCGCCAGATCACAGGCACGGCACGCAGCATGTGAATGATGACTACATGTTGCGACTGTACAGGGGCGCTAAGGAGGTAGGGCGTAGGTGGGGGATGGGGTAGGGCATGGCGCAGGGTGGTGGTGACGTGACCACTGCGTTTGACAACAAGTGAAAACGTTTTGAATCAAACTGGAATCAGACCATGCCTGGATGGATTGGCAGCAAGTGACTAGAAAACAACCTCTACACACCCTTATCCCCCTCCCTCTCTGCCTCGTTCTCCTTTGCTCCCCCCTTAACCCCATGCACGTTCCTCCTACTCCAGGCATCTGTGATAGTGACCTCGTCCCTCACGCACCTCATCACTCGGGGCGTACTGGACCTCAAACCCGCCGCTGCTGCCATTCCTGCTGCTCCTGCTGCTCGCACCACAGCACAACCTGCTGCTTCTGCCGAGACACCCTATAACGAGACAGGGAATCTAGAAGACAGAGGCACAGAGGACACGCTGCGGCTTGGACTGGACTTCCAGCTGGTAATCTATCTCTGTGTCCCATCCTCTGTCCCTCTCTCCATATGTAACCCTTGAGCATTTTCTCAACACGTTTGCATTCCTTTCGGCCCCAACTTTTTCGACCTCGTTCCTCATGGCCTTCCCCCCCTCCCTCCTTCCCCCATCACTTGCAGTGTCCGCTGCTCAACATCTCCTACTGTCCGCCCACACACCACCCCATTCCCCCCGGCACCACACTGGTACTGTGCTCTGAACCACACCACTGTCTCTTCGTTTGGTCAATTCCTCCTCCTTTGGCCCATGCATCAATCAACCCTCATTTTGCGTCTTCATCAGGTTGCTTCGATTTGTTGATGTAACTCAATGCATCAATCAACTTGACACAATCTGTTCTGATAAGAAGGCATGTGTGCTTGAGGAGCCATGGCATGGAGTGTCATTGCTGGCCCAAGCTGGTTCAGCCGAACCACACCCTACCCCATCCCCACACACTCTCGCTCATGCCATGCCATGCCCATGCCCATGCCCATGCCCATGCCCACACCCATGCCCATGCCTATGCACTCCCATGCCCATGCCTATGGCCAGGTTATTACTGCTTACAACTCCCTCGGTTGGGCCCGAGACGAGATAATCCGCATCCCTGTGAGTGCAACTGGAATGGAACGGAATGGAGCCTCATTGATTGGCAACCAAAATGCACATTTCAGTCTGACACCCATCCTTCCTCTTTATCCCTGTTCTTCCTTCTGTTGCCCAGTCAAGCCCCCCACCCTTCCCCCCCAACCCTTTCCTACTTCCCTTCCCACCATTTCCCCTTTCTCGAATGCCTTCTGCACCATTTCCCTCTTCCGCCTATCCTTTTTGTGTCTCTGTCAACCGCACCTCTTTACCATCTTCCACCTTTCAACCACGTCCTTTTCCACGACACCTTCCCATTCCCCCATCCATCCTCCGTTTTAGTCGCTTCAACGAATGCTCAGCGCAACACTAGTCCCTCAACAGTCTATTCATGAGGTCCTACAATCCTTCTTTTGTCATGTTCAATAGCACAATCCACTCCTCTAATTTTGGCTCCCCTCAGGTGTCCTCCCCTTCAGTCATTGTGACTGATGACCGTGGTAACGTGGTTCCATCACAGGCCATTCCCGAGGTGTTGATTCTGTGGGAAACACGAAAGAGGTATATCAGCGTGCAAGTGGGCGAGGAGGCTGTGAAAGGGGGCGAGGAGGGGTTGTGGGGGGTTGAGAAGAATGTGGAAGGTAGTGAGGAGGGGGTGGAAGGAGGAAAGGAGAAGCGAGGGAGGGAGGTGAGGGAGGCGCAACAGCAGCTGCAGCAGGAGGACGGGGAGGAGGAGCGGGAGGAGCAGCAGCAGAAGCAGCAACAGCAGAAGCCACAGAAACAGCAACAGCAGAAGCCACAGAAGCAGCAACAGCAGCAACAGCAGAAGCCGCAGCAGCAGCAGCAGCAGCAGCAGCAGGGGGGCGTGGTGGTGTCAGTGGTATTCCGTGCCAGGGTGCCACCCCTGGGCTACTCCACCTTCTTCCTCTCCCCAGCCCCCCCCCACACCCCTGGCGCTGCTGTACAGAGCACTGATTGGCTCGCACGTGTGCAGCCGGGAACAGGGGCCGGGGAGTGGGGGAAAGGAGAGGAGGCGGCGGGTGACGGGGAGGAGGGAAGAGAGAGGGGAGAGGATAAGGAGAGGAGTGAAGGAGGGGAGGAGGGGGAGGGGATTGAGAGAGGGAGTGTGGTGGTGGAGGAGGAGGAGGGTGAAGGGGTTGGTGGTGGTGATGTGATTGTGCTGGGAGGCTGGGATGGGGCTGCTGCAAGTGGTCCCAGTGATGGTGCTGCTGCTGTTGGTGGTGCTGCTGCTGGTGCTGCCAGTGATGGTGCTGCTGGTGCTGCCAGTGATGGTGCTGCTGGTGCTGCCAGTGATGCAAAGGGTGGCATCGGCTCTGGGAGCACAGTGCCAGGGGGCTCTCCTGCAACGAGTGCCTTGCGAGTGTTCTTCTCAAAGGCAGCATACGGCATGACTCGCCTGCAGCTGCTTGGTCGCAACCAGCAGGGAAACGAAACCGTGGTAAGGTGCTGTGCTGTGCTGCAAATCGATTCTCTGTGCGCTGCTTCCTGTTTGCCACGAGCATTGTTTCCTCTGGCCTCTGCTTTCTCCCCCATTGCCTTTTTTTCTGAGTGCAATTTCCGATCCCTAGCCATCCTTGCGTCTGTGACCTGTTCATACATGTCCTCATAAGAATTGCTCTCTTGCCTTGCTCATCGGAAGTGGGCACGTTGCTTTGATCATTCTGTTCTGTTGTTTCAGCTTTCAGACGAGCAAGTGGGCACGGGCATGGGTGTCTACACTTCAAAGCACGTGCGTACAAGGGTGCCTAAGTTAGTCGATTTTTGAGTCGACTCAAAAGCACGTGCGTACAAGGGTGCCTATGCCCCCAAAATACCTTTCTCTCCCACTCTCCTCTCTTGCTCCTCCACCTTGACTTATGAGTCGACTCAAAAGTCAACCCAAAAATATTTTCTCTCCCACTCTCCTCCTCTCTTGCTCCTCCACCTTCCTCACTCCGCTGCTGCACCCCAAACCTAAACTCCTTGCAGCATCCCTTTTTCTCCCTATTCGTATTTTCATTCCTTCCTTTTTCTTTCCATCCTCGTCAATACGGTCCCGTCTGTCGGTGCCACTCTATGCCACGCCTGTTCGATCGTACAATGTACACTTCTCATGCCATGCCATCCGCCCAACACTCTCCGCCATACCATGGCAGGGGCATGTAGTTTACACCCTTTGCCGTTTCTATCGCCCATGCTGCCTGCACAACAGCGATGCTGATGCTCTCCAACTCGTAACTCCCAACCTCACCCCCCCCCATTGCATGACGTTATCGCCCCGCCATTCCACAATGCATGGCATGGCATGGCATGGCATGGCATGGCATGACATGGCAGGCAGCAGGGGCGTACATCTTCAACCCCCCCCATGCAGCCACATCGGCCCAGAACATGAGCCAACAGGCAAGTGCCATCAGCGCCAGAACCACACCCATCACAGGCTCACAGAGTCTCAGCTAGTGCGAGGCCAAACCAAACTCTTTTGTGTTTCGAGTCGACTTGAAAACCCCCGCATACAGTCATGTCAGCCCAGAACACGAGCCAACAGGCAAGTGCCGTCAGCATGAGGACCACACTCAAGAGTCCCTCAAGAGCAGCACAGGAATCTAGAAACACACGCAAATTCAAGAATAAGTTGGTGTCGGTGGCATTTTGCAGAGCAAAATGGCACACACAATGAGCCCTTACATAACTTTCTGCCCCATATGCATTGAGGTGATTTTTGAGGCGCCTCAAAAATCAACAAAATCAGCCCTTACATAATTTTCGGCCCCGCCTTGCACCTAAACCCGACTAGGGCAACAGCACTGACACGCTCAGCGTCCCCACACGCTCTGACTCAGAGGCAGGCACGCTCTGAAGCCATCATCTCCCACGCTCTGAAGCCATCATCTCCCACGCTCCGCACCCATCCCTGCTCTTTGAGTCGACTCAAAAATTATATCCCACGCTCCGCACCCACCCCCACATACATCCACCATCCCTCCCTACGCTCACTCCCTTCTCTCACCACCCAGGTGCCGGTCCGAGTGCTGCGAGGGCCGCTAGTGGAGGAGTTTCACCGAGCTCTGGCACCCTGGCTGTCCGAGGTGGGTGGCTGGCACAGGTGGGCGGCTGGCAGGGGTAGGCGGGTGTGAGAGGTGGGCAGCGGCTGTGAGAGGTGGGCAGCGGCTGGAAGAGGTGGGTGGCTGTCAGAGATGAGTGAGTTGGTGCGCTGGCTGGCTGGTGAGGTCTCTGCTTCGTCTCTAACTCTTACTTGCATGGAGTGATCCCCTTGCATGCTGAGTGGGTGCTCTGACCTCGCTCAATGAGAAGAAATCGCCCTGCACTGGCTGGTACGGGCGGCACTGAGATGCCATTGCTGCATCCCTCTCTAATCTCCTCCACTGCCCTGCAACCTATCCGGCTTTCACTGCAACCTATCCGGCTTTCACTGCAACCTATCCGGCTTTCACTGCAACCTATCCGGCTTTCACTGCAACCTATCCGGCTTTCACTGCAACCTATCCGGTTTTTACTGCAACCTATCCGGCTTTCACTGCAACCTATCCGGCTTTCACTGCAACCTATCCGGCTTTCACTGCAACCTATCCGGCTTTCACTGCAACCTGTCTGGCATGCCTTGCAGGTCATTCGAGTGTATCCGGGACAGGACTATGCGGAGTTGCATTACATGGTGAGCTCATGATCAAGCCACTTCATAAGTTAATACATTGTCAAATCACAGGCTGACCTTATAGACTTTTAAGTACTCCATCCATAAGCATCATGGGCATCATCGAAGCGGCATCATAAGGTCACTTGCAGCTCCACGTTAGTAGGTCCACTTCTTTTCGAGTTGCTTGCTCAGCTGAGCACATCACGTAGCTGTGAACAAAATGCGTATTCTTTCCCGTGTGTGTGTGTGTGTCTCGCTGCCTTCACTCCTCCAAACACCTGTTGTCTCACCCGCTCGCCATCCAGCCAGAGTTCCACCATCATGGGAAGTCTCTTATCAAAACAACAAAAAGAGTCGCCCTTATCAAGGCATTATGGCAACATTGTATCATGGCAACATTGCATCATGGCAACATTGCATCATGGCAACATTGCATCATGGCAACATTGCATCATGGCAACATTGCATCATGGCAACATTGCATCATGGCAACATTGCATCATGGCAACATTGCATCATGGCAACATTGCATCATGGCAACATTGCATCATGGCAACATTGCATCATGGCAACATTGCATCATGGCAACATTGCATCATGGCAACATTGCATCATGGCAACATTGCATCATGGCAACATTGCATCATGGCAACATTGCATCATGGCAACATTGCATCATGGCAACATTGCATCATGGCAACATTGCATCATGGCAACATTGCATCATGGCAACATTGCATCATGGCAACATTGCATCATGGCAACATTGCATCATGGCAACATTGCATCATGGCAACATTGCATCATGGCAACATTGCATCATGGCAACATTGCATCATGGCAACATTGCATCATGGCAACATTGCATCATGGCAACATTGCATCATGGCAACATTGCATCATGGCAACATTGCATCATGGCAACATTGCATCATGGCAACATTGCATCATGGCAACATTGCATCATGGCAACATTGCATCATGGCAACATTGCATCATGGCAACATTGCATCATGGCAACATTGCATCATGGCAACATTGCATCATGGCAACATTGCATCATGGCAACATTGCATCATGGCAACATTGCATCATGGCAACATTGCATCATGGCAACATTGCATCATGGCAACATTGCATCATGGCAACATTGCATCATGGCAACATTGCATCATGGCAACATTGCATCATGGCAACATTGCATCATGGCAACATTGCATCATGGCAACATTGCATCATGGCAACATTGCATCATGGCAACATTGCATCATGGCAACATTGCATCATGGCAACATTGCATCATGGCAACATTGCATCATGGCAACATTGCATCATGGCAACATTGCATCATGGCAACATTGCATCATGGCAACATTGCATCATGGCAACATTGCATCATGGCAACATTGCATCATGGCAACATTGCATCATGGCAACATTGCATCATGGCAACATTGCATCATGGCAACATTGCATCATGGCAACATTGCATCATGGCAACATTGCATCATGGCAACATTGCATCATGGCAACATTGCATCATGGCAACATTGCATCATGGCAACATTGCATCATGGCAACATTGCATCATGGCAACATTGCATCATGGCAACATTGCATCATGGCAACATTGCATCATGGCAACATTGCATCATGGCAACATTGCATCATGGCAACATTGCATCATGGCAACATTGCATCATGGCAACATTGCATCATGGCAACATTGCATCATGGCAACATTGCATCATGGCAACATTGCATCATGGCAACATTGCATCATGGCAACATTGCATCATGGCAACATTGCATCATGGCAACATTGCATCATGGCAACATTGCATCATGGCAACATTGCATCATGGCAACATTGCATCATGGCAACATTGCATCATGGCAACATTGCATCATGGCAACATTGCATCATGGCAACATTGCATCATGGCAACATTGCATCATGGCAACATTGCATCATGGCAACATTGCATCATGGCAACATTGCATCATGGCAACATTGCATCATGGCAACATTGCATCATGGCAACATTGCATCATGGCAACATTGCATCATGGCAACATTGCATCATGGCAACATTGCATCATGGCACAATGGCTCTTCCTTCCTTTTGCGGACAAACTTTATGCTTCCCAGAAACTACGAAGAGTCATACTTCAACCAAGTGGTTCATGCAATCACTTTTGAGAATTCTCAAAAGTGATCTAAACTACGAAGAGCCATACTTCAACCAAGCGTTTGATGCAATGTACCACCTCCGTTCATTCCTCACTGTGTCCGTTGTTCACCCTTAAACACCCCCCTTGCCTTTCCCTGCCCCTTCTTTCACCTCCCCCGTGCATGCATACATGCATTGCATATCACCATCAGGTGGGGCCAGTTCTATGGAAGCCCTATCGTCGCGAGGTGGTCACTCGCTTCGTTCTGCCTCACACATATTTTACCCCATGCATGCACCTCCCCATGCATGCACCTCCCCATGCATGCACCTCCCCATGCATGCCATGCCATCCCATGCCGTGCCATGCATATCACCATCAGGTGGGGCCAGTGCCCAGGAAGCCCTATGTGGGTCGCGAGGTGGTCACTCGCTTCGCCTCCTCCCTCGCCACTGAAGGGACTCTCTTCACCGACTCCCAGGGCCGCGAATACCTGCGACGGGTGAGACTACCTTAGAGGAGCCTAAAAGATTGCGGCGCCACGTAAGGAAACGACTTCTGAGGCGCCACATAAGCCCCCCCTCGCCACTGAAGGGGCTCTCTTCACCGACTCGCGAGCCCACGACTACCTTCGACGGGTGAGACAATTCGTGTGAACAACAGAACATGGCTTCTCAGCCGATGCGTATCTCACATCACATCACATCACATCACATCACATCACATCACATGGTCAGGGTGCGCTGCCTGCATGTTGGGTGCGCTGCCTGCATGTTGGATGCGCTGCCTGCATGTTGGGTGCGCTGCCTGCATGTTGGATGCGCTGCCTGCATGTTGAGTGCGCTGCCTGCATGTTGGGTGCGCTGCCTGCATGTTGGGTGCGCTGCCTGCATGTTGGGTGCGCTGCCTGCATGTTGGGTGCGCTGCCTGCATGTTGGGTGCGCTGCCTGCATGTTGGATGCGCTGCCTGCATGTTGGGTGCGCTGCCTGCATGTTGGGTGCGCTGCCTGCATGTTGGATGCGCTGCCTGCATGTTGGGTGCGCCGCCTGCATGTTGGATGCGCTGCCTGCATGTTGGGTGCGCTGCCTGCATGTTGGATGCGCTGCCTGCATGTTGGGTGCGCTGCCTGCATGTTGGGTGCGCTGCCTGCATGTTGGATGCGCTGCCTGCATGTTGGGTGCGCTGCCTGCATGTTGGGTGCGCTGCCTGCATGTTGGGTGCGCTGCCTGCATGTTGGGTGCGCTGCCTGCATGTTGGATGCGCTGCCTGCATGTTGGGTGCGCTGCCTGCATGTTGGGTGCGCTGCCTGCATGTTGGGTGCGCTGCCTGCATGTTGGGTGCGCTGCCTGCATGTTGGATGCGCTGCCTGCATGTTGGGTGCGCTGCCTGCATGTTGGGTGCGCTGCCTGCATGTTGGGTGCGCTGCCTGCATGTTGGGTGCGCTGCCTGCATGTTGGGTGCGCTGCCTGCATGTTGGGTGCGCTGCCTGCATGTTGGGTGCGCTGCCTGCATGTTGGGTGCGCTGCCTGCATGTTGGGTGCGCTGCCTGCATGTTGGGTGCGCTGCCTGCATGTTGGGTGCGCTGCCTGCATGTTGGGTGCGCTGCCTGCATGTTGGGTGCGCTGCCTGCATGTTGGGTGCGCTGCCTGCATGTTGGGTGCGCTGCCTGCATGTTGGGTGCGCTGCCTGCATGTTGGGTGCGCTGCCTGCATGTTGGGTGCGCTGCCTGCATGTTGGGTGCGCTGCCTGCATGTTGGGTGCGCTGCCTGCATGTTGGGTGCGCTGCCTGCATGTTGGATGCGCTGCCTGCATGTTGGGTGCGCTGCCTGCATGTTGGGTGCGCTGCCTGCATGTTGGATGCGCTGCCTGCATGTTGGGTGCGCTGCCTGCATGTTGGGTGCGCTGCCTGCATGTTGGGTGCGCTGCCTGCATGTTGGGTGCGCTGCCTGCATGTTGGATGCGCTGCCTGCATGTTGGGTGCGCTGCCTGCATGTTGGGTGCGCTGCCTGCATGCTGGGTGCGCTGCCTGCATGTTGGGTGCGCTGCCTGCATGTTGGGTGCGCTGCCTGCATGTTGGGTGCGCTGCCTGCATGTTGGGTGCGCTGCCTGCATGTTGGGTGCGCTGCCTGCATGTTGGGTGCGCTGCCTGCATGTTGGGTGCGCTGCCTGCATGTTGGGTGCGCTGCCTGCATGTTGGGTGCGCTGCCTGCATGTTGGGTGCGCTGCCTGCATGTTGGGTGCGCTGCCTGCATGTTGGGTGCGCTGCCTGCATGTTGGGTGCGCTGCCTGCATGTTGGGTGCGCTGCCTGCATGTTGGGTGCGCTGCCTGCATGTTGGGTGCGCTGCCTGCATGTTGGGTGCGCTGCCTGCATGTTGGGTGCGCTGCCTGCATGTTGGGTGCGCTGCCTGCATGTTGGGTGCGCTGCCTGCTTGTTGGGTGCGCTGCCTGCATGTTGGGTGCGCTGCCTGCTTGTTGGGTGCGCTGCCTGCATGTTGGGTGCGCTGCCTGCATGTTGGGTGCGCTGCCTGCATGTTGGGTGCGCTGCCTGCATGTTGGGTGCGCTGCCTGCATGTTGGGTGCGCTGCCTGCATGTTGGGTGCGCTGCCTGCATGTTGGGTGCGCTGCCTGCATGTTGGATGCACGGCTCTCGTGGCTACCTGCGCCGGGTGAGACTACCTCCAGCCAGCAATAAGAAGATTCGTCTTGAGATGCTGTGCCATGCTGAACCATGCTGAACCATGCTGAACCATGCCATGCCATGCTGAACCATGCCGTGCCATGCTGAACCATGCCGTGCCATGCTGAACCATGCTGTGCCATGCTGAACCATTCTGTGCCATGCTGTGCCATGCTGAACCATTCTGTGCCATGCCGTGCCATGCTGTCCCATGCTGTGCCATGCCGTGCCATGCTGTGCCATGCCGTGCCATGCTGAACCATGCTGTGCCATGCCGTGCCATGCTGTGCCATGCCGTGCCATGCTGAACCATGCTGAACCATGCTGAACCATGCTGAACCATGCCGTGCCATGCTGAACCATGCCGTGCCATGCTGAACCATGCCGTGCCATGCTGAACCATGCCGTGCCATGCTGAACCATGCCGTGCCATGCTGAACCATGCCGTGCCATGCTGAACCATGCCGTGCCATGCTGAACCATGCTGTGCCATGCTGAACCATTCTGTGCCATGCTGTGCCATGCTGTGCCATGCTGTGCCATGCCGTGCCATGCTGTGCCATGCCGTGCCATGCTGTGCCATGCCGTGCCATGCTGAACCATGCTGTGCCATGCCGTGCCATGCTGTGCCATGCCGTGCCATGCTGAACCATGCTGAACCATGCTGAACCATGCTGAACCATGCCGTGCCATGCTGAACCATGCCGTGCCATGCTGAACCATGCCGTGCCATGCTGAACCATGCCGTGCCATGCTGAACCATGCCGTGCCATGCTGAACCATGCCGTGCCATGCTGAACCATGCCGTGCCATGCTGAACCATGCCGTGCCATGCTGAACCATGCTGTGCCATGCTGAACCATTCTGTGCCATGCCGTGCCATGCTGTGCCATGCTGTGCCATGCCGTGCCATGCTGTGCCATGCCGTGCCATGCTGAACCATGCTGTGCCATGCCGTGCCATGCTGAACCATGCTGTGCCATGCTGAACCATGCTGTGCCATGCTGAACCATGCTGTGCCATGCTGAACCATGCTGTGCCATGCTGTCCCGTGCTGCGCCAACATACATTGCCATCCCTCCAACATTCCCTCCCCCCTCCAACCCTTTCATCCCCCATGCTTCCTCCCTCATCTCATCCCCCACGCTTCCTCCCTCGCATGCCGCCACGCCCATCAGGTGCGCAATCATCGGGCAGATTGGAATCTCACAGTCTACCAGCCCATCGCGGGCAACTTGTACCCTGTCAGTCAGTTATCTGGGCAGCATGCATGGATGGCATGCTGTGGCAGTTTTGTTGTGTGCTGGCATGCTCGTGACTGGTATGTGTGGATGTTGCCGACGCATAAACGGGCAGGTGGCATGGCAAAGCATAACGTTGCTGTTTGTATATTGCATGCCACATGTTTACGTCCACTGTACACATGTCAGCATGTCACCAGCTTCCTCCCCGGTGCACCACCACCAATGGGCCTGGCCTAACCAGGCCTGTCACGCACAGCCTCCCATGACCTTCTTTGCCCTCCTCTCCTCTGACCTTCTCTTCCCTCCCCTGCCCTTCTCTGCCTTCCTCTGCCCTCGCATGCCCTCCACTTCCCTCATCTTCCCTCCTCTTCCCTCATCTGCCCTCCTCTGCCCTCCTCTGCCCTCCTCTGCCCTCCTCTACCTTAATCTACCCTACCCTCCATGCTCTCCTTTGCCCTCTGTGCACGCCCCTTCCTCCACATGCTCCCTTGCCCGGCCACAGCTCACAGCAGGGGCATACATCGTGGGCCACACACACAGCCCAGCTCTCATGGTGGTTGTTAATGACATGCATGAAAAAAAAAAAAAAAAAAAAAAAAAAAAAAAAAAAAAAAAAAACTGCCCTCTGCGCATCAGCCATCCTGCCGTCCCTCCCCATCCTCCTATGCCCGCCCACAGCTCACAGCAGGGGCGTTCCTTGCCGACAGCACTGCCCAGCTCTCACTGCTGGTGGATTTCCTAGGCGCCTTCAAACAAACATCTCTCCTCCTCTGCACTCTGTGCATCTCCCCATCCTCCCCTCCTTCCCCGTCTTCCTATGCCCGCCCACAGCTCACAGCAGGGGCGTTCCTTGCTGACAGCACCGCGCAGCTCTCACTGCTGGTGGACCGGCCACTGGGGGCAGCCAGCCTTGCAGACGGGCAGATTGAAGTAATGCTGCACCGGTGAGTGGTGAGGAGGAGTGGCTTGTGGTGTGGTGTGGTGTAAGTAAGTCCGACAGCACCGTTCCATTCGAGTCAACTCAAAGATCTCCTCTGCTGGTGGACTGGCCACTGGGGGCCGCCAGCCTGGCAGGCAGACAGCTTGCATTGGAGTGATGCTGCATTGGTGAGCGCTGTGGAGTTTGGGCCTCGTGCATAGGGCCAACAGCTCCGAAGGTTTATCAAGTTTTGGATTCCCGTTTCAAGGTGTAGTTGTGAGTTACAGTTTTCAGGTGTTGCATTGAAGTGTAGGTATAAGCCCCGTTGCTCCTAAACCGCCAACCACTCTCGGCAGTGCTATTTTTCCCTCACTCATGCCCGCACTCTGCTGCTCCTCTCAGGCCCTCACACCTCTTGCTCTGCACATTTGTCCCTTAAAGGCACAAGATTTTTGACGATGGGAAGGGCGTGGGGAGAAGGGGGGGTTTGTTTGAAACGTCTCAAAAGCAACCCACGCATCCCCTCTCCCCACCCCACCTACCTGCCCCTCACGACTGGATTATTGTTTCTTACTCAAAAGGTTTTTTTTTTTTTTTCTTCTTCTTCTTCATACAAAGTTGACTTACACACGAGAAGCTACTTCTGAGAAATTTCACCAATCACGCATCTTCCATCCTCGCTATCAGGTGCATGATTTCGTACGACAGCTCGACTTTTGATTCGACTCTTGAGTCGAGGTGACTTTTGAGTCGACTCAAAATACATCAGGTGCATGATTTCATGATATCATGATTGCATGATTGCATGATTGCATGATTGCATGATTTCATGATTTCATGATTTCATGATTTCATGATTTCATGATTTCATGATTGCATGATTTCATGATTTCATGCGACACCACGGGCGTTGAGGAGGTCTGCGACTCCCATGACAACACACTGCTCCTCACTCATCGTTCCTCTTCTCACTCCCTCACACCTCCTCACTCTGCGCGCGTTTGTCCCTCTCAGGACCATGATCGCAAATCAAGGAAAGGCGTGAGTGCGTGTTTGTTTGAAACCTTCCCAAAGCAAGCACCAAACACATCTCACA